AGTGACTAGTGGGTTTTAACCACTGATCTTGTGCTGGCAGTGCAGTGCTTATCTTATAGCACCTCACCTTAAGGGTTTCAGAAAAGTGACTGATGAATTTGAACCGCCAACCTTGCAGTTCAAACAGACCTTGTGGTCCAGTACTTATCCTACAGCACCACATCAGGACTCCTATCTGTGTATTGTTGTTGTTATTGTTGTTAAGTGCTGGAACTGAGTCGATGGCACTTAACAACAACAATATCCCTTATAAGGTTCTGGGGTGGCAGAAAGAATTAGAGCTTGGCTACTACCTGAATTGCACTGGACTGTGAACAATAAGGTTGGCAGTTCAAATCCACTAGCTGCTTCTTAGAAACCCTGTCCAGCGTAGCTATATCAGACTCAAAAGCACTTAACAACAATGACATTAACTTAAATATTGCCTGTTAGAATCCACCAGTTACAAAAATTACCTGGTATTCTTGAATCAATGCCATGTAAATGTGTTTGGTTTTTCATTGGTAACATTAAACAATGAAATAAATGATCACATGTATCATCAGAGCAGAATAGTCACATATATGTGAAAACTTTAAATCTCATTAAATTTCTGAATGAGCAGCCTAATATAAAAATTTACTCAAATATACTACTAAACTACAGAAAATGTGGTCATATAGGATATCTCTTTATGTATATTTCTTTAGGCTTTTATTAGGAATAACATTACTCATATTGCAATTAAGGATTCTGAAATGTAGAGAGGTATATTAGAGAAAATAATCAGTTTTATCTAAGTATATATTGATGATTCTTTTATAAATTAATAAATTACAAACCACAGATAATTTTAAATTGAATGATGATAAATTATTCTTGATGACTATGGCAAATATAATAGCATTACTTTTATAGTGGTCTTGTTTTTCATATAGTTACTAATTGGCTACAATTTGGTAAAGGTCTATCTGAACTATTGTCATCTAATTTTATTCATAGTCTTTTTCCAATTAGAATTAATGTTATACAGCTAGTGATCTACTGAAATTCTAGAAATAAAGTGCCCCTGGAGGTATCCTAAAGCACAATTTTTTCTAATTTTGTAATTTTTCTAAGAATTATTCTGAAAGAACTTGAAATTTCAGGTATTTTAATTGAATACAAAAAGAAGATAAAATTAGAAATCTTATTCTATGCATAAGGAGCGCTGGTAGCATGTTGTTGTTGTTAAGTGCCGTCGAGTCGGTTCCGACCCATAGCGACCCTGTACAGGGTTTCCGAGGGTGTAAATCTTTACGGGAGTAGAA